TAACTGCCATTGAGTCAGTTTTGACTCAGAGCGATCCTGTATAGGGTTTCCAAGGAGCAGCAAGTGGGCTTGAACTGCTGACCTTGTGCTTAGCAGTCCAGTGCTTATCCTACAGCACCAGAAGGAGAGTGAAAAACACATCCAGTGTGGCAAGCCAACATGGTGGCTTATCCCACAGTGGGAGCTTCCCCCTCCCCACTCTTGCAGAGCTTTGGGCCTCCCACCTCTCCCCCAATCTCACAACGTGCTTGTGAGTATTAGCACTGGGCTATTTCTTTTATCATCACAGTGCTGCAAGGTAGGTTGTTGGTGGTGGTGGTGTCAAATCAGTTCCTACGCATAGAGTCCCTCTATAGGATTTCCGAGGAGAGACTTGGTGGGTTTGAACCACTGACCTTGCAGTTCAAACTGACCTTGAGGACGAGTGCTAATCCAACAGCGACACACAGGTACTGGCCACACTTTGCAGATGAAAAACAGAGGCTTTGCAGCTGAGGACTCAAGATTCATGGAAAGAGAGGGACTGAGTGCTGGCAGCCAGGAGGCAGGCTTGCAGAATGTGCCCTTTAGTTGTTCAAATTATTATATATTCCTGAGTGTTTCTGTGTACATCTCCCTACCCACCCCACCCTACTCCAAAAAATACTGTTGAATGATGATGCGTGGAGGAGATTGTAATCATTGCAATGAAATGGTGTAAAGCTGATGTTTTATGTATAAAACAAAGGTTCTGAAAAATTGAGTTGTGTGCCCAAGTTATTACAGCTAGTTACGAGAGCCAGTATTCAAATGCAGGTGTTTATGATTCCAACTCCCGTATCATAAACTGTACACATGTGCCAATCTGTATCCAAGAACATGTCCCACTCCCAAACTGGATGTCACCAATTTTTAGCATTACACTTAAGGAAAGTGGGACCCAAGGTGAGAGAAGAGTTCTAGTCTACACTTCTTTAGCATTAGAAGGAACCTGTAGCCTCTGCCAGAGGCAATCTTTATAGAATGTATCCAATTGTTATGCAATTCATTTTTACCTAGGCACATAGCTTGCCCTGTTCTGCAGTCCCATAAGAAACCATTGATCTAGACAACCAGGTCCAGAAATCAGAAAAAGATGGTTGGACTAAACTGAATCTCATATTGATCCAAGTCATTGTGTTTAGTTCCTGAGAAGAACCAAATACTGCCAAAGAGCATACAACGAGCTGGGGTAACATAATCCTACCCCACCTACATAGGCTAGAGCATAAAGAAAAATACTTCTTTAGAAGTCATAAAGGTTCCTGGTAAAAGGAAGGCCCACTGAGATTAAAGTCAGTAGCCCTTCTGAGGGCTCTGTGATGCAGGGATCAAGGCATAGTCTGAAGAGGGGAAATGATATTAAGATTCCTGACTGACTTATGAATATTGATTTCCCTTGCCTACTATTGTAAAATAGACATTTGAATGAAATAGAAAGGAATGTTGGGAAACATGATTACAGAAAGCTTGTAAGCCCGTCTTCAGCCTATAACTGATTGGAATACCTAAAAAGGGTTCTACAATTTGCCCAGTAAAATAGGCTTCTTGCAGAGCCTTTGCAGTGTATAGGACCTTAGGTGGAATTCTGAGCCACATCCAGAACCTTCTGAGGTGGGACAGTCCTACTAGAAAGGAAAAGCAGACCACCCTGAAACAGCTAGAGCAATACAAGATACATCTGCAAAGAAAGATCAGCAGGAAAAATCCAAAACAAAAATGGCAGTATGATTGGCTACTACAAGAACAAGCAAGTTGTTCACCAGGAAGTCAGCAATCAAGTCCCTTCAGGACAAACCCCCCTCTAACACTGAAACTCAAAGGGAACACATGAGCAGGCTTACTGGTAACCACATTGGTCTACTGGTGAGTGGAAGAGGGGGAAAGGGAGCAATGAAGAAATGGGCTGAGTTCAACCATGGTCCATAAAATCCCACTGACCTTGAGAAGAAAGAGAGAAGAGGAAGGGTAGGTTGATCCAAAGTATGGTGAGACCTGGAGACACCTGAGCCCAGGGACAAGGACAAGGCTGAGAGTGAAGCATCCAACAGATATGAAATGAGGGGAGATGCACAAGATGCCCAAACTTGCAGATAGTACCCATTGGACCTAGACTCAATGGCTGGATAATCAGAATTCAATTGTTGTTGTTGTTGTTGTTAGGTGCCATTGAGTCGGTACCTTATGCACAGCAGAACAAAACACTGCCCGATCCTGGGCTAACCTCACTACTGTTGCCACGCTTAAGTGACCATCTCGTAGAGGGTCTTCCTCTTTTTCTCTGACCCACCACCT